TTTGGGTTCTTTTTTCATTGAGTGCTTTTGTGGCATCAGGATATGCAGAATCTTCAACTAAGTTTTCTGTTCTACAGCTGTAGATGAATGTAGGAATTCCATTCTCCATGATCACCACCTACACCAGTTGATTTTATCCTTCATGGAATCACCGATGCCAAATTTCATGGAATAACCTTTTCAAGGATGTTTTGTTCTTCACCATGAGAAAGCCTTATTTATGTTCAGATTTACTCATGGCACAAGCTTGACTCTACTGAAGAGAATCTTTATCAGTTGGGTATTAGGCGCTCAGAAAGAGTTAACTTAGATGGCCCAAGATGGCTTATGCTTAGATTGGCTGTCTTGCAAAGTGGCCCTCACTTGGCATCTGGGAACTTAGCTCTCCAGAGGGTTCCCACCACCCAGACTGTTAAGAGTGACTCACTATGCCTAAACTGTTTATGCAAATGGTGTGATTTATACTGAGCACTTGCTTTCCTCCTGGGAATCTGGTATTTTTGTACTGCCAGTAGAAGTTGCCTACCTGGCTAGCCCCCAGTAAAAACTGTACTCAGTCTTTAATGAGCTCCTTTGGTAAACAGTATTTCACAGTTGTTGTTACAATGCTTTGATAGGGAAATTAAGCAAGTCCTGTGGGATTGTGCTGGAAGAGGACTCCACTGGGGGAGGACTTTTGGAAGCTTGAGCCTAGTTTCCTCCAGACTTCTCCCCATTCATCTTTTCCCTTTGTTGAGTTTACTTTGTAGACTTTCACTGTAATCATAGGATTCTGACTGTATGCCGAGTCCTGTGAGGTTTCCTAGGGTAACAGTAGCTGTTGGAACAAATAAATGCCAGGACTTCAGAGGTCCAATACTATAGGTTATTTCTTGTTTATATAAAGATCAGTGCCAGTGCTCTTGGTGAGTAGATGGTCTTCCATCAATCATCAAGGACCTAAGTGCCTTCCATCTTGTATTCCACCTTCTTCTAAAGCCTCTGAGTCCTGTTCATTAAGTTTGTAGATGGAAAAAAGAGACTATGGAAAGTACATACCCCCTTCTTAACCCTCCTCTTCACCTTAACTCCACTGTTGGCCCGAAGATGACACCACTACATCTGGCTACATTCCATTGGCAATTATGGTCCCATGTAGATACAATGGGGCTACGAAATGTGGTCTCTGCTTGGTGGCTGTTCCCCTGCAGCAACTCTGTGGAAATAAAGCATAAATCCTTGATGGCCTGCAACAGGATCATAATAGATCTATTTATTATGAAACTGTGGCACCCTCAACTTCCTCCCAAGTGCTAGGAGACAATACACAGAAGCCATACTGTTCTTGCCTATATGCAGGTTGACATGTAAAAGGAAATAGGTCATCCCAAATTGAGTAGGCAAGGCTAACTTTTCCCGGGAAGTCTTCTTTCCAAATAGACCCCTTCTGTGTTTCCATAGTAATTGGTGCTGATCCCTCTCATAGCACTTATCACAAGGTATTGAAACTTCACTGATTTCTTGTCTGACTTTCCCATTGAATCATAATATTTTTGAGGCTACAACTTTAGTTGTCTTATCGACCATATGTTCTGTGCCCAGAACAGAATCTGGTCCATCTGAGATGTGCAGTAAATGCATAAAGGAATAAGTGGTTGAATGGGACAGGGAGATGCAATGTAGTAGCAGGCTGTGAGCATGTGCTTCAGAGTTAGTGAAAATTTCTTATCTTCTGTGACCTTGCAAAAGTTACTAAACTTCTCTGAACCTCAAATTTTCATTCTTAGAATGGGGATAAAAATACTAACTTTGCAACATTGCTATGAGGATTTTCTGAGATTATGAATGTGTATACCGCACCTAACCTTGTTCTAGGGATATTAGTAAACTCTGTAAAAATGGTATTTATTATTGACACAAATGACAGCCAGTGGCATTACCAGTTTCAACATTCGGTTACTCCAGATACACTCTTAGATGCAAACTATTAGAAGCCGCAGAAACCCAAGGTGGCCAAATTGTGTGCAAGGGTGATGAGAGGAACGAGTTGTAGAGACAGCAGCTTCATTTCATTGGCGAGTCTTCCTGGGAGGACAAAAGGGCTTCCTTCCCTTGACCTTGACATCAAAGAGTATTAGATTCACATTCTCGAAACAGTGCTTATTCTCCCAAGACTTCACAAGATGTCAAGCTCATCTCACACCTTTAGAACAACATGGTTCAAGATAGAGCTCTGATTCCTTCTTCATTCACTCATCCACTTAAGAAATATTTTTAGAGTGTTCACCTTGAGTCAGGCACTAGGGATCATTAATAGTGAACAAAGAAGACCAGTCTCCTCTGTCACAGAGCCTACATTTTAGGAAGGGAGACAGACAGCCAACCAATAGGTATGTCACATGTAGACGGTGAAAAAGAAGATTTTAGGAGTGCCTGGGTGGCTCAGTCGATAAAGTGTCTGTTGATTTCGGCTCAAATTTGTGATCTCACGTTTCATGAGTTTGAGCCCCATGTCAGTCTCTGTGCTGACAGTTCAGAGCCTGCTTGGGATTCTTTCTCTCTCTCCTTTTCTCTCTGTGCCTCCCCTATTTGTGTTCTTTCTGTCTATTTCAAAATAAATATATAAACTTAAAAAAATTGAGATTTTAGGCAGCATCCTGGATATGTGGTTTCTTTTTTTTTAATTAATTAATTTATTTATTTATTTATTTATATTTGAGAGAGAGAGAGAGAGAGAGAGAGAGATAGAACATGAGCAGGGGAGAGGCAGAGAGAGAGTGAGACACAGAATCTGAAGCAGGCTCCAGGCTCTGAGCTGTCAGCACAGAGCCCAACATGGGGCTTGAACTCAGGAACTGCGAGATTGTGACCTGATCTGAAGTCAGAAGCTTAACTGATTGAACCACCCAGGCACCCCTCAAGTTCTGCAGTCTTAAGGTAAACTGTTATTAAACGTATCACAGGTGTCAGCTCTAGTGGTGCCATTTGGCCTTCTTCAATAACTATTTCATAATATATACGTACATATATACACATATACATTACATATACATACATACACACACAATTACCCCAAACTTTCTCTCATATCATGTTTCTGATTGATTTATTCTCATAATCGTCTAAGCCCCTGTGTTTTTTACTGTTTTAAAGCAATGGAAACCTTTTGGATTATTTATAAACTCCATGTCTGGTAACCCCCCAGTGTGAAAGCAGTTCTTCTCTGGTTCAGGAGGATCTCCACCTGCTTTGCCTCCACCTTGATCCCTTCAACGGCCTTCAGTCTCACAGAGGAACTTGGGGATATAAGGAATAGGGTTTGAAAGCCATTAATGAAGTCTTAACTAAGTAGTGGGAAATTGATAATGAAATTCTAGTCCAATTCAATAGACAAGAGTTATAAACAAGGGAAAAACAGCAACCTACAAAGGTCAAGGGTCTATAAGTGTGAAACTGTGTGACAAGGCTCCTGGGTGGCTCAGTTGGTCAAGCATCCAACTTCGGCTCAGGTCATGATCTCACGGTTCGTGAGTTCGAGCCCTGCGTCAGGCTCTGTGCTGACAGCTCGGAGCCTGGAGCCTGCTTCCCATTCTGTGTCTCTCTCTCTCTCTCTGCCCCATCCCCACTCATGCTCTGTCTCTCTCTGTCTTAAAAATAAATAAAACATTAAAATTTTTTTTTAAATTTGTTCAATACAGATTTCTTGATTTTCTTCCCCATGCCTGTCCTACCTGTAGCTTTTCCCTTTTAGTAAACATCTACCTGTTGCTCAGGCCAGTTCCTGGGCCCTACCATGCTCCCACCTTCCTTCCTTCTCTTCTCTGCAATAACAAAGTGCCCCTGTTTTGTTCCTGAAGTTATGGAGAAACAGTGTTTCACCATGGATACAGCGCAAGCTGTTGCCTCTACCAGATTGAGGAGGCTCCCTTCTATTTCTAGGTTGTTGAGTGTTGTTGGTATTATGAAGGGTGTTGTATTTTACCAAATGCTTGTCCTGTGTCTATTGAGACAATCATGTCCTTTTTGTCTTTTATTCTATTCATATGGTGCATTCCATTAACTGATTTTTAGATGTTAAATCAACTTTGCATTCCTGGGATAAATCCCATTTGGTCATGGTGTGTAATCCTTTTTATATACTGCCGAATTCTATTTTCTGATGTTTTGGTTTTTTGGGGGGGGGAGTTGTTTGTTTTTGTGCCCCAAAGTGTTTTCTGTTTTTAACAAATCTGAGCTTTAAACCTTTTGCTGGATTCCCATGGCACTCCAGAGCTCCCCTATGGATCTCTGCCACAGATATGTGGCCTTTATGCATTAATCACTCCCTCACTTCACTTTGCTTCCACCACTTTCCTGTCTCACTTTCCTGCTTCCTTACTAGTCTCTCCTGGGGACATTTTTTTTAAATCTCTTTTTTAAAGTTTATTTATTAAAAAGTTTTTTTTAATGTTTATTTATTTTTGAGAGAGAGAGATACAGAGGATGAGCAGGGGAGGGGCAGAGAGAGGGAGACACAGAATCCAAAGCAGGCTCCAGGCTCTGGGCTGCCAGCACAGAGCCTGATGCAGGGCTCAAACCCATGAACCGTGAAATCGTGACCTGAGCCAAAGTTGGACACTTAACCAATTGAGCCACCCAGGCGTCCCTAAAGTTTATTTTTTGAGAGAGAGAGAGAGAGAGAGAGAGCAGGGGAGGGGCACAGAGAGAGGGAAAGATAGTATCGCAAGCAGGGATCCCCAACAGGCGGCTCAAAGTCACCAACCATGGACTGTGACCTGAGCCAAAACCAAGAGTCAGAGGCTCAACCAACTGAGCCGCCCAGGCACCCATCCCAGGAGGGGTTTCTACTAAATCGTTTCTACTAGTTTCTACTAAATCATTTCCACACAAATCCTCTTCTCAGGTGCCGCTGGTGGGGATCAGCTTAAGTCACTACCATGGGGGAGAAGCATCTCTGGCCACGTCGTCCCTCACATATCCACACTCCTCTCACTAACTGGGCTCTGTGGATTTTCCTGCAGGTGATTTACGCACTCAACACCCGCCAGGATGAAGCGGAGGCCAGCATGGAGGCTCTGCGGGAAGCCCACCGGGAGGAGCTCCAGAAGGCCGTGGCGGAGACCGAGGCCAGGCTCCTGCGGGAACAGGGCCACGCAGAGGAGGAGGCCCTGCTCCAGCGCATTCGGGCCCTGGAGAACGCCTTGGAGCTGCAGAAGAGGCTGACCCAGGAGGCGCTGGCTCAGTCGGCCACGTGCAGGCTGGAGACCAAAGAAAGGGAGCTGAGGGTGGAGGCAGAGCATGCCGAGCGGGTCCTCACCCTCTCCAAGGAGATGCTGGAGCTCAAGGCCGACTATGAGAAGAGGCTCCGGCACCTGGCGAGCCACGAGACGCCCCAGTGGGGCCAGCTTTCCCAGGAGGGCCCGGAGCCCAAGGGAGAGCCAGGCCACGGCCACGAGATGCGGGACGTCCTCCTGGAGGTGGAGAGGCTGCGAGCGGAAAACCAGCAGCTGAGCAAGGACTACGCCAGGAAGGCTGAGGAGCTGCAGGCCACCTATGAGCGGGACACCGAGGCCATCCGGCAGGCCATGCAGCAGTCCGTGAGTGAGGCCCTGTGGCAGTGGCAGGAGAAGGAGACGGACCTCCGCAAGAACTTCCAGGTCCAGGAGTCGGCCCTGCAGGCTCAGGTCAGGAAGCTAGAAGGGGATCTGGAGCACAGGGGCCGCAAGATAAGTGACCTGAAGAAGTATGCCCAGAAGCTGAAGGAGAGGACTCAGGTAAAGCAGGGTCTCGGATGGCTTGCAAATGAGATCATATTCGTGGTCCCTAATTTTAACACTTACTGTGTGTTAAGACTGTTTTTAACATCTACTGAGCTTTAAACTCTTTGTGCAAAGCCCTTGACTTCTACCAAAGTGACTCCTCTTATTTCCCTTGAGTTCAAGTACATCCTGTCAGCAAATATTTATGGAATGCCTACTATGTGCCAGGCCCAGGGCTATGGCCAGGAGACACATGGTGAGCTGGGTCCCTGACCTCAGAGAGCTTAGACACTTACAGTTTGCAGAAGAAAAGAAATTGGGAGGCTTAAAGACTAACCTCGCTGGTCAGCTGCATTCTATAGCCCTCTTCATTCCATAACAACTTGCCTGTCCTAAACTCCTTGGGACTTGGCTTTCCTGGACAGCCAGAACATTGACAAGGCAGATCATTGACAAACCCCACACGCTCACAACACCCTGTCTCTAAAACTTGCAGCAGCTAATATTCCTAATAATCCCTGAGCACTTTTTCTGCCCCAGACACTTTATCTCATTTAATCCTCACCACAGAAAGGTTAAATATGTGCCCAAAGTCACACAGCCAATCTGGATGAGTAGGGATTTGATGAACATGAGCCACCGAATTGCAGGGACGCAGAGCTTATGCTGTGCACTGACCCACCTTTCAGATGTGACGCTGGTTCTGTGTATATTGGATGTCTCCACAGAGAACTGTTCCTAGAGAAATGAGACCCTTTCTGTCTGTTTAGGACCTAGATGTGCAGCTCAAGGAGGCTCGGCAGGAGAACTCTGAGTTGAAAAGTACTGCAAAAAAACTCGGGGAGAAGCTGGCCATTGCCAAAGACAGACTGATGCTGCAGGAACGTCATGTAACACCGAAAACCGGTCAGATGTTCTGCAACAGCTTTTTTAAACATTTATTTATTATGAGAGAGAGAGCACGTGCATGCGTGAGAGTGGGGGAGTGGGAGAGGGGCAGAGAGAGGGAGAGAGAATCCCCAGCAAGCTCTGTGCTGACAGCAGGGCTCAATCTCATGAACTGAGCTGAAATCAAGGGTTGGATGCTTAACCAACTGAGTCACCCAGGTGCCCTGCAACAGTTTTGCAGCCTTGAGACTGTTGAGAGAGCAGAGCCAGGGGCGGGGCTGTTTGATCTGACCCCTGGTGGGCCAGCTCAATCCATGCAGGACAAAGGTGAGCTGCCATCTGGAGCCACCACAGTGCAAATAGCTAAAAGGCATGACGCAAAGGGACACCTTGCCCCCCCAAATGCTTCGTCACCAGGCCCACCACATGCCTGAACTCCTCAGCATTGGCTTTTCCCCCACGCTTGGGCAACACTTCATTCTTTTCCCATCATTTCACACAGCAACGTTACTGGGTCTTCCCAGTTGTTCTGTGAGTGGGTGTTGTCAGTATCTCCCATGGTCCAGACAAAGAGATGAGGCTGGAAGGGTAAGTGGCTCGCTCAAGGCCACTGGTAAATGGGATAACTGGTGTGTGTGTCTCAGAATATCTGACTCCAGGAGGCCTTCCAGTAGAGTCCCTCATCAGAAAGTTCTTGAATACCTACAGTGTGATCAACTTGATACTAGGAGATATAAAAAAGGCACAAAACATAGGCTCTTGCCCCAGGGAGCTTATGGGACAGTGACTCTACAGCCCAGAGCATGCTTTGGTATCATGCGGTGGCCCAGGCTGTAGGGAAGTGAAGTGTCCTGAAAAGAGGTCACCATGGGCTGGAAGGGTGTGGGGGAGGAGGTTCGAACTGGAGCCACAAGTGTGTGGAGGCTTTAGTGCAATGTTTTCAAAAGTAGGGCTTGGATACCTCTGAGAATATGGGAAGAAAACGGTGAGCATTTCTAGTTATATTTGTTTTTTGTTTTATCTTTTACGTTTAAATATTTTGAATGTATATCTATCCAGGAATATGTTCAATTTTTTTTTTAACCTATGGAAAGTACAGTCAAAGAGCTTTGACAATGACTTAAGAAGCTAGCATTCGGGATGCTGCTTGAGCAAAGACAACAATCACCACCTTGACTATGCTTGAGGGGCCAGAAGGCCACAGAGCAGGGGAGTCCATCCGAGAGTGGTGGGTAGAATAGTCAAACAGTAGAATGGGTACCCGACCGCAAAAGACCTTGGACATGAGGCCAAGGCCAAGGGCATTTCAAATGATGTTGAAACTTATGCTTGCAGATGAAATGAAGACAGAGCTAGTTGCAGAGAATGAAGTCCTAGGGAAGGCGAATGACCTAGAAGGCCGCAGTCTCCATCCTCAGCAGGACCCGAACTTTCCCAAGGAGTGTCCATGTACCAAAGGAGGCCCAGAGACACAGGTAGTGTCTCACCCAGCCCTGGGAATGGAGAAGTCACAGGAGGCTTTGCTGGAATGAGCTTCAGGCAGAGGCCAATCTCGTAACTATGACAGAGCCACTTGGAAGAAGCAGGTCCCATGGTTTCAGGGGTCAATGCATGGGTGTGAAGTTCCAGCTAACTTCTTGCATTTGAAATTAGGAGACTAAGAATATAGCAGAACTTCTGTCGACGGCTCCTGGGAAACTTGCATGGGATTTCCACTGTCTGTTCCCAGTCAAAACAAACAAAGCATTCTTTAGACACTGCTATAGTGGGCTAGAGTATCTCCTCCTGTGACCATAGGTACACTATTCCAAAGGGCCCTTTGCTGATTCAGGTGGATAAAGTAGTCTCTTACAAATATCAGATATATAGTCTCGTGAACTTTATGGCACCTTGTGATTTTATGCTGTAAAATCAGTGTGTAAATGTTGTACCCAAGAGAAATGGTAATTCCCTGCTCCTCACCCCATGCTGGCAGGTTTACAAGGCCCTTTTTCTTTTTTATAGACCAAGAAAGAGGCAAGTATTGAGACGGAATATATGAAGAAGCAATATGAAGAAGACCTTCGTAAAATCAAACATCAGACAGAAGAGGAGAAGAAACATCTCAAAGACCAGCTAGTGAAGCGCCTGGAAGACTTGGTAAAGAAGCACGCCATAGAAATCAAATCGGTTCGCTCTTCGGTGGAGGCCGAGAGGAGGAAGCTGCAGAAGGTGAGACCCCCTTTCATAGACTCTGTTCCGATTCTTTTTCCTTTCCTCTACCTCCCTCCTTTTCTCTTGTATTTCTTCTTTCCTTCCTTGGACATTTACTGAGCTCCTGCTGTGTATACATCTAAGTTATTTCTCTGCCCAAGGCAATTCAGAGTCTTTTAGAGGAGACGGGGACGTTCCTTAGACTGTGAGCCGGTCAGGGCCTAGAATCGTTGACACGACGTAGAATTGTGTCCTCTGAACATTTAACTGAGGAAATTCAACTCTCCTCAGCAAAGACAGAGAGAAATAACATGAAGCAAGCACTGAGGCCCTAGCAGACTTGCCTGGATTCAAATCCCAGCTCTTCTAGGAGCTTTGTGAGCACCGTGAGTTATTGAACTTGGGCCCCTCAGAGGGAAATCTTGTGTGCCTTAGGTTCCTCATTTATAAAGCAGATGACGATAACAGCACCTCCTAGAGTAGCTGCGAGGATTAAATGAGGTAATCTGTGTGGAAAAAAAACAAAGCATAGTATGTGCCTGGGGCATAACAGGTAGATGAAGGTAATTAATCAGTGGCTTGCTAACGTGAGAGAAGATTCCCAGCCTCTGGGTACTTTTCCGACTTTCTACCGAAGGAGGCAGCTTTCTGCTGAGAAGAAATGCAAGGCTTCATCTCTTCCTGTTTACTGGGAAGAGCAACTCACGTCTGTGACATTTTAGGAAAAGAATGAAGTGTAAATCAATAATATCGTGAACTTATTCTCTTTATAATGCAAGAGCCTGCATTATCAGCTTTGGGTTTTTGCTGAAAGACAATCAGATAGCACTGACGATTGCAGTGTTGTGTGGCAGTTACGAGTAGTAGGTACTCAATAAATGTGTGTGTTGGGTAAATAAATGAACTCATGAAAGATCCAAACTAGTCCTGGTCTAAGAAGTCCTAACACTTCCACTAGCTGTATGACCATGGCCAGGTCACTTAACCTCTCTGAGACATGATTTCTAAAATAAGGGCAAACACTTTGAAGGCTTATTATGGGTCCCTGATGGTATTAAATAAAAACTCTTAGTTCAGTGAACAGCATGTAGTAAAAGTTGGATAAACAGTGGCTATGCTGAGTTACCCTGAGCACCAGCTGACACAATGCATGTTAATATTGGTTAGTGCCTGCTATACTTTCTTTTTAATTTTTAATTTATTGTGTATGACCACCACACTTATAAGGCACTTCAGTCTCAGAAACACAGTGAATCTTCCCAACAAGATGACAAAATTGGTATTTATATTTTAGAGATGAGAAGATTAAGGCTCAAAGATGTTGCGTGTCAACTCACACAGACAGTGAGTGCTAGAGCTAGTATTAGAACCTGATAGCTCGAGGGTCACCTGGCTCAGTCGGTTAAGTGACCGACTCATGATTTTGGCTCAGATCATGATCTCACAGCCGTGAGACCGAGCCCTGCATCAGGCTTGCACCCAGCGTGGAGCCCGCTTGCTATTCTCTCCCTTCCTCGCTCCCTCTGCCACTTCCCTGCTGGCTCACCCTCACTCTCTCAAAAAATAAAGCTTTAAAAAAATTTTTTTTTAAATCTGATAGTCCAAGTCCAGAACCCCTGGTTCCCACCCCTGCGCTGGGCAGGAGGCAGCTGTTTGGAAAGCATTTTCCTCCCCATGAGCTGCTAGTGGTCACGCAAACCCGATCCTCAGACAAATAGCTGACTGCTCTTTCTATCCAGAGTCACAGTCAGTGGAAGGAACCGTAGCTCCCAGAGCTACAGGTTGCCCTGGTAACCTGTCAGCGAAGCCTGACTGACTGCACAAATCCCATTTTGGCTTTAATGAGGGGGCATGAATCCATTTGGGAAATGAATCACATAGAAATAAATTGTGTTTCTCTTCTGGTTTGGGAGAGGGGCGTTATGCTTTTTATCCCACCCCCTTTTTTTTGAGGGGCATTTAGACCATTTACATTGAATATAATTATCACTAAGTCTACTATCTTGCTGTTTTTGTATTTGTCACATCTGTTCTCTTTTTCTTTTTTGCTTCTTTTTCTGTGTATTTTTGATTCATTGAATTTATTTTTTGTGTTCCCTCTTTTATCTCCACTAATGGCTCATTGGCTATTTTTCCTTTTTTTCTTCAGGGGTTGGGGGCTGCTCTAGTGGTTGCTCTAGGATTTACAACATACGTCTTTAATTTATCCCTGTCTGCTGCCAAATGTTATTTTATTTCACATATATAACTTCGCTGTACAAACCTTACAACAATGTATTTCCATTTATCCCTTCCTGACCTTTGTGTAATTGTTGTCATACATTCTAATTTAGACATGTTACAAACGAGAGAGTATATTGCTTTTATATTTCCTTAAAAAGTCAATTATTTTTTTGAAGTTTATTTATTTAGTTTGAGAGAGAGAGAGAGAAAGAGCACATGAACCAGGGAGGGGCCGAAAGAGAAGAAAAGAGAGAGAATCTCAAGTAGGCTCCTTGCTGTCGGCACAGAGCTGGACAGGGGCTGGAACTCATGAACTGTGAGATCATGACCTGAGCCAAAATGAAGAGTGGACGCTCAACAGACTGAGCCACTCATGGGCCCCAAAAGTCCATTATTATTTTAAGAGGAAAGTTTTCAATAAGAAAAAAATATTCCTTGTATATTTTATTTTTAAGTTATAATATTATACTTATTCTTTCCCATTTCCCATTTCTACAGTCTTTGTTGCTTTGACCTGAAGCATTTCTTGTGGTGTAAGTCCACTCACGGCAAATTCTGTTTTTGTATGTCTGAAAATGTCTTTTTTTGCCTTAATTTTTGCTGGATACAGAATGCTAAGTTTACAGTTTTTTTTTTCTTTCAAAACTTCAAAAATGTCATTTGACATTTTTTGGTTTGCATTTTCTTCAAATGCAAGAAACTTTGGCAGTCCCCCTTATCATATTCCCCCTGTTCATAATATGTCTTTTTGTTCTCTGACTGCTTTTAAGAGTTTCTCTTTGTCACTGGTTTCCACACCTTGATTATGGTATGCCATGTATGATATTTTATATGTGTGTTTTTCTGCTTGGGATTCATGGAATGTCCTGGACCTGTGGGTTTATTGTTTTTTCCAGTTTGGAAATTTTAATGCCATTATCTCTTCTGCTTCATCCTCCTTCCAATATTGTCCCACAAGTCACTGAAGCTTTGTTCATTTATTTATTTATTTATTTTTCTGTTCATTTATTTTTGGTCTCCTTGTCTCTCTGTGCTTCAGTTTGGATAGCTTTTATAGCTGTATCTTTTAAGTACACTCATTTTGTTTTTGTATATTATGCAATTTTTTTAAAGCCTATTTGGTATATTTTTTCATTTACAATATCATATTTTTCAGCTCTTGAAGTTCCATTTGGTCTTCCATTATGGTTTCCCTTTCTCCTCATTATGCTTATGTCTTCCTTTAAATTCCTCGGCATGATTGTAATTGCTCTTTTGGCATTCTCATCTGTTAGTTTGGATTTTTTTTTCTATGATTGATTTTTCTCCTGGTTACAAGTCCCATTTTCGTGCTTCTGTGGATATTTAGTAATGTTTTATTGGGATGCTGGACATTAAGAGTGTTAACTTTTTGAAAGACTGCATTTTGTTATCACCCTTTTAGGAGTGCATTTTGTTTTGGCAAGCGGTTAAATTACTTGTGACTCAGCTTCATCTTTTCCAGACTTATTCCTTTTATTGTGTTAAAAGGTACCACTTTTGAGATTTATTTTTAAACTTGGTTAGGATGAGTGTAGAGTAGCATTTGAGCTGGTGCCACTTTAGCTTTGCTACTGAAGTGTGACCCCTCATGGGGTCCAATACCTCATGTATTGATTAATACTGGTGTTATTGTGATTGCTGACATTTTTGACTTTGTACTGGTTGACTGTTGTTGCCGCACCATGAACTTTATAGATAGATTCCAAAAACAGTAATGTTTCTTCTCCAAGCAAGTTAACATATTTTCCTTTAAAAACATGGAGGCCAGGTGATGACAGCAGGTGGTACACGGCGAGAGCCATCTATGATTGGCCAGTTGAGCTGCCTGGTGATTGGCTGCATGAGCAAGACCAAGCTGAGAGCCCCCTGGTGATTGGCTGGGGCACAGTGGTGCCCTCAGGAGGTGTTGGGATGAACCTGATTGTTGGAAAGGCCCAGCACTGACCCAAGGCTGCACTGGAGAGAGGGCTCCTGGGTCACAGCTCCTCCTATTTGGGTATGCTTCAGGGTTCTCCACCCCCCACTGATCCCATCCCCGCCTCTCACCCACGCTCTGCACTCCACCTTCATGTTTGCTTCTACCCTTCTGCCCCTCTGGGGTTGCGTGAGTCCTTATACCAGCACTGGGCCCCACCTGGACCCAGGCCCCACTGCAGGGCTGGCCAGAACACCCAGTTACTCTGGCCCATTTGGCAGAAGGGTAGGGGGTTGTGAGAATCAGAGTACAACAGACCCTTACCCAGCCAGGCAGAGCCTCTCCAGTGCTCTGGGGTCATAACCTGGCTCAGCATGAGGAAGCTGGGGGCGTGTCCTGAGGGTACCCTGGACATCTACTGACATGGAGTCTTCTGTCAAGGGTCAGCACAAACTAGTCCTCTAGATACATGACCAAGTGCAAGCACACCAGACCACAGTGCAGGATAAGAGACTCTCCCAGAAAGATGGCTTATGAGGACTTCTCTAACCCAACTCAGCATGGAGCCAACAAGTCTCCAGGACTCTAGGCTGACCAGGACCCTCTAGTTGGGAGCTCTCTCAATCAAGACTACAGGGCAATCCAGTCTTCCAGCTGGGCCAACCAGAAGCCCTGCCACCAGGAGCCAACTGACCTTCATCAGCAATAAAGTTTCCCAGACCCCCGGCCAATGTGGAATTCTCTGAACCAACTTAGCATGGGGCAATGGAGTACCCCAGACACTGGGCCCACCAGGAACCCACCGACCCAGTTTAGCACAGAGCAAACTAATCCCCTGGATACCTGGCTGATGGCAAGC